TCCATGAGCCAGTTGCAGCATATGAGCTGATTATTCCTACACTAAATGTTTTCCGCCAATGGTATAAAACATGTCTCCTGAGGACATGGAAGAGAATTATATAACATGAAAACTGGAACTCTATAGCATTATAGAGCATGACAAATCGCAGTAAATTTTGTGGCACTGCGACAGTCATGTAGGAATCTGGAAAGTGCCAGGTAAGTGCTATTTACCAGAGCACAATATTCCCATAGACTCCAACTACTACGGATTCTCCGTAGTTTCTACGGAAATTCATGAAAAACTGCGAGCTACGAAAAGTATGGAAAAAACTACGGATTTTACAGAAACAAGAGCAGGAGAACCAGTACGCAAAACGGAACCAACTAATTCATCCGATGATTGGCTGAATACTCGTGTTATCATATATCACGTGTTGAGTGCGTTCCTAGTTTTGAAGAATTAGCCAATCGTAGATCAGTAACTCCAACCGTTAACGACTTATCAATAGTTCCACCCAATTGTCTGTCTCCCAGGTTCCTCGCTGATGCGTGTTTAGGCTGCATTCGGCTGCATTGTGTAGTTTACGGCGAGAGCTTAGCGTGTGTCTTGTGAACTGTGAATCAGGTGAAAGATTTTTAATCATAATGCTGCCTCGAACGAAGAAGCCAAAATTATCAAAGCAGAAGTTTAAAGATTCATATTCTTCAGAATTTCCATGCATTAAAGCGTCCGAAATTTCTGTGAATCACGCACACACTGCAGTGTATGCAACAAAGACTTCTCAGTTGCTCATGGCGGAAAAGAGGACTGTAAACGGCATGTGTTTTCTCAAAAGCATATAGAACTTGGCACCGTAAAATCTAAAGAAATAACAAATTTCTTAATAAAAGATGATGAAACAGATCCTATAAAAGCCGAATGCTATTTTGTTCGTTTTTTAATTGAACATAATCTACCGCTTTCTGTTTCGGATCATTCCAAAGAGCTTTTCAAAGCAATGTTTCCGGATTCTGCCATAGCAAAAAATTTAGCTGCGGTCATACCAAAACTGCTGCTATTGTGAAAACGCTTGCAGAAAATACTGTTGCTGATATTATAAAATCAGTGTGCAGTACATCATTTTTCTCTAAGTACTGATGGAAGTAATGATAACAAAACTGTACCCATTGGTTATAACATACTACAGTAAAGAAAAGGGAGTGATAATTACTTCATTGATTTCTATTTTAGAATGCACGAATAATACAGGAGAAGGTATTTTTAATTGTATAAATGAAAACTTTAAAAACAAAGGTTTAGAATGGAAAAATTGCTTATCATTTTCTTCAGATAATGCTAGTAATATAATTGGAAAGTTTAAAGGTGTAGCATCATTTATCAAAATGCATCAATCAAGTATAATCACCCGAGGTTGTCCGTGCCACCTCTTGCATATAGCTGCAAAAAAAGCTACTGAAAAATTAATTGGCTCAGAAATTGAAATGTTGATAATAGATATATATTTTTACTTGGAGAAAAGTTCGAAACGGAAGCATAGCTTCAAAGTTGCTCAACAAATTTTGGGACAGAATGCAAAATCTCATAAAATTTTGAAATATTGCAGTACGAGATGGTTGTCTCTTTTAGAATCTATAACAAGGATTTTGGAACAGTGGGATGCTGTGATAAATTTTTTTGGAGATAAACCAGATAACAGTGAGAATGAAGGAAAGAGATTGCAAAACATTAAAAAAATTTTACAGTCACCGACCACCAAATTGTACTTGTTATTTTTGAAAAATACTTTGCCTTTGTTTATAACAGTAAATATTAATTTGTTGCAACAACAAGCTCCTTATATACATAAATTGAGAAGAGAACTTTTTGAACTTTTAATGAATTTATTTGTTAGATTCATTCGTAAAACCATCAGTAATTTCTAAAGAAAATGAAGATGTTACTCTAACGTCTATTCCATTTCAGAAGTATAGTAAACAAAAAGAAAATGAAAATTTAGTGATTGGTGCGGAAAAACAAGACTATATTTAAAAAATGCCAAGTTGAATGAAAGTGAAGTGAAATCATTTTTCAATTCTGTGCGAGCTTTTTTTGTAACTGCATGTTCATATATAATTGATAAATTTCCACTGAGTGATCCATTTCTAAAACATGCTGAAGTTGCTGACATCAACTTGAGAACTGAAGTTCTCATTTTCATCTGTTCTTTACTTGATGAATACTTTTCCATCCATTATTGATGAAAAATGTCTTAATCAAGTAGAAATTGAATTTTCCATGTATCAAGTAGATGATTTGAAAGAAATTGTAGATTTGCGTATTGATATAGCATGGGGAGAAATTGCCGAAATTAAAAAATATGAATGGGTGTATTAAATACAAAGTATTGCCTTCTGTAATGCTTGCTGTCTTAATAATACCTCATTCAAAACGCAGCTTGCGAAAGAATTTTTTCTATTGTTAAAAAAATCAGACGGAATTTCGATCAAATTTAGGTCTTAAAACTCTTGAAGCAGTTTTGATTGAAAAAATAAATATGCAGGCAAATGAAGAACTGTGTTATAAAAAAAAAAAAACATTCTCAAAATCAGAACTTAAGCTTGCTAAGCATGCTACATATAAATCTTTGCATTCATAAATTATGCGTATTTTGTTTAATACTTATATGTATCATTCTTGGTTATTTAAATTTTATTTCCCTGTAGAAATCATATCCAGAATAAAGATATGATTTATAGCTTCTGATTTTTTCTATGATTAGTAGTGATTTGAAGTACTTTTTATTAGTGAATGCTTGAGGAGTTAAAAGAAAATTTCTAATTAAATGTGCATATAATTTACAAGGTATATTTTTAATTATTCAGTTTTATATGTATATGGATTTTAAATGTAATAAAATTGATTACAATTAATTATTAATTTAAAATTAATGAATGGTTAATTACAACATACGCTACGCGCACATTTTCAAAGTTGTAAAAATGTCGTTCGCGCGTTGACTACTGACAAGGTTTGCTGAAGGTTGGAGTCTATGTATTCCCACTATAAAATTTAGTGGAGATGGATTTATGGCATAGGGCTATTTTTCTTAGCTATGTCTTGGTCTATTTATTGTGCTGGTCTATTGTTTATTATGAATTGCTTAGTCTATTGTTTATTGGAATTATGACATATGGCTATTTTTCTTAGCTAGATCTTGGTCTAATGTTTACTGTAAATCATGAATAGTGAAGTCTGTGATGTGACGTTGTATAATTCTATGTTACCTATCCTGTGGTACCAATTTCAAATTGGTATTATTTTCAACATGACAGTACATCTTCATACTACACAGGTGGTTTGATATATTAATTTAGCAAAAGTGAGAACTAATTTGTTTGAGGACATGTAGTCAAGGAATTTGATTAGACAACCCAAAGCCCAATCTTAGTGCAGTAAAACATCTGCAGGCTGAGTTACAGTGCTAAGAGCCAGGCCAATTCGCTCTAATAAGTGTTTCCCCATGCTAAGGAGGAATGAAGGAAAATACTTGTAGTCATCAGCCAAAATACTTTTCTTTGGAGACAGATGCGATTGTGATGAGCAGCAGATCTATGGCCTACTGGCTTCACACCAACTCATGTTAAATGATTTCCTATGAGTGCCTGCTCATTAATAACAACAAAAAAAGTAACTGCTATTAAATACTCCCACCTACTTGTAAGTTTTCCCAAAATCTCTTGAAAATAATTATAATTTAGCACAAGTTTACAAAAAAAATTTGGAAAGGTTCAAACAATTATTCTTAGCAATTTCAAGCACAATTCAGTGCTAAAATTGCAAGCAGGAAGTTATGAAAAGCTATAAAATCATGAAAACTGTGAAGATTTCAGGTATAGTGAAGACATGCAAATAATCAAATTTTGAAGTACCTAGCTCCAACCAGCAGATACCTGAGAGAATTCTTAAAATCAAAAATGATGATTTACCATGCCAGCATATCATTAAAACATTCACACCAAAATGTCAACACTGCCCACCAATGCATATCTCAGGAGTTTTGAGAACAATGATGAACTTGGATGACAGCAAACAGTGGTTAGAAGCAAATTTCTCCTTTGACAAATCATAGGATTAAAAGAATAGTGCATAGTGATCCTTACTCTACAACAAATAAACTTTGATGTCACATAGGAGCTCAGGCAGTTCAACAGTATCTACATAAATTATTAGAAGGTGCTTGCTTAATATTTGGTAACAAGCAATATGACTTAGCAACACCTATTCCATTTATCCCGAGCAACTCTATCAGACCTTATCATGACATATATCCAGATAAATGGTGGAGGGTAAAACAAACAGTAAACAAACAATTATTTCTTCAGTGACAAGTCTCACGATCTTAGACATACTATTATTATACACTGGTTTTGTTCCTGGAACAATAATAATGTGGGATAACATAATGTATGATCGGCAGAACCCTCAAGTTTTCCTTTCTGGTACATTGGCAGCTCAAGGATATGTTGATTTGATTTTGGAGCCAGTGGTACCCATTATCTATTCAAGATGTCCTGTAAACTAATTTTCAACACGACAATGCTAAACATTAGTTCCTCATGGTACTGAGAGTAGCTTGCATAAACTGAGATGTTCCCATAGTCTGTAACATCTCCAAACTTGTCTTCCATCGAGCACACCTAGGCACACATCATTAATTGGCTACTGCAAAAGAAGAAAAAAAAAAAAAAAAAAAAAAGATCAACCTGCCAATCTTACTATTTTATATGCCCAAGTGTCTCCAATGTGATAAAACATTCCTCAGACAATTAGTGATCAAGGTGTGCAAGTACATATACTTCTGCATCTGGCAATCATATTTCATACTGAATAACTCAACATTTTGTATATTTGAATATTCTGTATTTAATTTTTTATGATCTGCATATAATTAACACATCTATCAATTCTGTGAATTTCAAATTTCTGTGCCTTCCATCTTGGTGCCATAATTTGAATGTTCAGCTAATGATCCGATATGAGGACATGGAAAATATTTATTATTTTAATATACATTTAAATAGATCTTTACAGTCAAAATTTTACAGCAGCAAGACAGTTAAATTTTAACTTTATTTTCCATCCATCGAACGATTTCGAGCAACTACTGATTCATCAAATATAATCTTGAAAGTTGTACCCTTGTGCCAGTGAGCAGTCACTTTAGCCGCCTAAAACAACAAACAATACTACATGTATATTTATCACAAAATTTAAAAAATCTTTAATATAACATACCTACACACACACAATCAAATTCATGTGATTTACTTTTTGACATGCATTGTCAAAAATATTTATCTGGGAAAATATTATGCATCAAAAATTAAAAGAAATTGATGATTTATTAAGTTATTATTTAGATATGGTTATAAAGATATGGTGATAGATATAAAGATATGGTTATTTAGATATAGTGATAAGCAGTCAAAACCAAATTAAATTTTACAATATCCCCTTCCAATTCTTGAATTTTTGAATATAGCTTATACTGATGTATATAATATAATAAAATGCTTTGTTAGAATGAATCAATAAAATAGTAATATTAGAAAAATTACACTACTTGTTGTGAAATGAACTGAAGTAATAACTGGCACGAGGCGCTGCTGTTCGTGACGTCAGCCTGCGTGCTGAGTGTTTCGAATGGTTTGCTTGTACACAGAATGAAGCTGATCTCGGAAGAGTGAGACTGTTTTGATGAAAATAAAGAATGGCTTAAAGAATTTTTTTGTCTTTATTCATAATGCACCCAGCCTCGGGAAGAGGCAGGCCAGCAACTGAACGAACTGTTTTAAAATATATTTGATTTATATATTTTCTGTGTTCTTCGTAACATAGTGGTACCCTCGGCGGGACCGGGTGCTATGAATTAGAATTTTCCGATTGAACTTTTGATATTGAATTTCGATTTTGAATATACTTTGAAGATGGATTTGATCGCTTTAAAGACTCAAAGAGAAAAGGACTTAGAATTGCGTTTTCGCAAACCTCAAGGAAAACCGAAAGTGAATTAACTAAAGAAGTAAGAGATATAAAAATACTTTCGATTTTGAAGTGTCAACTTTCTGATAAGTTCCAGAGACTTGACGTATGCCAGAGTGCTATCGCGCAGAAGATTTTGCAGACTGAAGATGGATAAAAATTATTTAGTGATGATTTTCAAGAAGCGGAGGATTACCGAGATAAGTTTCTAGAACAGTGTGCTCAAATAGATGTGGAAATACAAGCCTCCTCTCTTCCAAGTAATTCCGAATCTAGGAAATTTAAATTGCCTAAATTGAGCTTAAAAAATTCAGTAGTGAAGCTAAAGATTACCTGACTTTTTGGAGTCAGTTCCAGAAAATCCACGACGACAAAAGTATCGCTGATGAAGATAAAATGCAGTATCTGTTGCAGGCCATGGAACCCAAATCAAAAGCAGAATGCCTAGTCCTTAGCTTCCTGGCAATGGCAGCTAATTATCCCAAAGCGATCGAGCAACTAAGAGAGCGCTTTGGACGCGAAGATTTACTTGTGCAAATCTATGTGAGAGACTTGTTAAGCCTAGTGATGAAGAACGCTGTAACCGGAAGAGCAAAAACTGATCTACCCTCTCTGTATGATGAACTAGAAAGAAAATTGCGAGCGTTGGAAAGTTTGGGGAGAACCCAAGAAAAATATGGGGATTTTTTTACCCCCTTAGTGGAAAGTTGCTTACCAGAAGAAGTACTGATGGCATGGGAAAGAAGCAGAAATCACGACTCCATTGAAACTAAAGGGACTCTATCCTTGCAACATTTAATAAATTTCTTAAAACAGGAAGTTAAGGGGAAAGAGATGGTTCAACTTGCAAGAACTGGTTTTGCTTCCCAACAGAACCATCGGAAGAAAGACTTTAACCACGAACAGGTAAAGCAAAATGAACCCGTAACAGCGTCAGCTCTAGTAAGTCTTGAGAATTCAGGTAAGAGTGTTCCGAACTGTAATTTTTGTGAAAAGAAACATTTTAGTGAAAAATGTTACTCCGCAAAAAAAAAAAAAATGACTTTAGCTGAAAAACAACAATTGTTGTTGAAAAAAGGTGCTTGTTTTTCTTGCCTGAAAAGAGCGAGTCACATTAGTAAATTTTGTCCTTTGAAAGGTAAGTTAAGTTGTTCTATTTGCAAAAGTTGTAATCATTTTGATGTAATGTGTAATCAAACGCTAAAAATTAATGATCAGATACGTGTTTCAAAAGAGAGTTCTCTTTCTAACTGTGGCAGAAGCGAAACTGTATTTTTGCAAACGCTTTGTGTTCGAATTCGGTGTCAAGGTCACGAGAAAATTATTCGCTGCATAATTGATAGTGGAAGCCAAAGTAGCTACATTAGTGAAAGTATGATGAGTCAGCTTACAGCATCTCCTCTTAGGCAGGAGACAGTTATACATGCACTGTTTGGGGGCGGGGGACAAAACGAAACCTAAACAACATGAAGTGTTTTCGGTCGAGGTCAGCAATTTTAAAGGAACGTTTGCATGTAGTTTTGAAGCACTTTCTGAAAAAAGGATTTGTGGTTTTATTCCTATGGTTAAGGATAAAGAGATTTTGAATGAATTAAAAAAAAAAAAAAAGAAATCGAATTTTCTGATCCATTGTGAAAGGTAATTGAAATTAACCTTTTAATCGGAGCAGATGTTATAGGAAAATTATTGATGGGAAATTCTATTGAATTACAGTCTGGGGTAATGGCTGTCAAAACGAAACTTGGGTGGATGGTATTTGGAAAACAAAATTCGGGTGAAAAGGATAATATTTTGAAAACATTTTCAATGCATGTCAGGAGAGTTCCTTTGAATGAGTTATGGGAACTCGAAAAAATAGGAATATGCACTCCAATCGAAACTGTTAAAATGAATGAAAGTTTTAATTTATCTGAATTTGAGAACAAAATGAAAATTATTCCAGATGGAAGATATGAAGTAGAACTTCCGTGGAAATGTGATACGACACATTTAACTGATAATAAAGAATTATCCTGGAAAAGGTATCAAAAAATGATCTATAAACTCAAATGTAGTAAATTTTTCGATGATTATCAAAATGTGTTCAAGGAATGGGAAAGGTTGAATATTATTGAATGCGTACCAGAAAACGAACTGAATAATGAATGTCATTATTTGCCGCATAGGCCTGTAATCAAATTAGGAAGTGTAACCACAAAAATTCATCCTGTTTTTAACGCTTCTGCATCTGAGAAAGGGAAGCTCTCTTTGAACGAATGTTTGTGTAAAGGGTGAATCTTATTGAATTAATACCTGATATTATAGATCGTTTTAGGATGTATCCAATAGGTATTAGTGTCGATATTGAAAAGGCTTTCTTAATATTATCCGTCGCATCTAAAGATAGAGATTTTCTCAGATTTTTTTTTTTTTTTTCCTTGCAATGAAGGACAATTAATTTATAGGCATTGCAGAGTTGTGTTTGGAGTTTCTTCAAGCCCCTACTTGTTGAATGCATCTATTAGAAAACTGTAAACGTCAGTATAGTGAAGTTGCTCAAAAATTGAAATCGTCATTTTATGTGGATAATTGTTTATCTAGTGTTTTTAGTATTGATGAACAGTTTACGTTTATTGAACATTCCAAATTAATCATGTCAAATGGATGTTTTAACTTGCGCGATTTTGAAAGCAATGTGGCTGGTACAAATGTTGACAAACATTCAGGGGATACTCTGTTTTGGGGGTAATTTGAATTTGCATAATGATATGCTGAGGTGCTGCACAGACACAGACACATTGACCTGTGATATGAAAATCACAAAGAGGACAATTTTAGCAATTGTGCAGACAATTTTTGATCCTATTGGTTTATTAATGCCAACTACATTGCTTCCGAAACTGTTGTTGCAAAAATTGTGGAGAGTGAAAATTTCATGGGATGATGAATTGTCTCCAAATGATGTAAATATATTTTTGAACTGGTTTAAAGAACTTAATGTTTTGAAAGATGTTACTTTGCCTCGATACTTGTTGATCAATGACATGTCTAAATTACATGTATTTGTGGATGCTTGCAAGGGGGCATATGCAGCGTGCGTCTTTGTTCGATGAGTATTTAATTCTGAAGTAAAAATAAATCTTGTACGGGCGAAGTCTAGAGTATCACCTTTGAAATCTTTAAGCATTCCTCGCTTAGAATTAATGGCCTGTTGTATAGGTTCTAGACTTGCAAATTCTATTATCAAGGCTCTCAGTTTGCCCAATTTAAAAGTTACCTTCTCGTCTGATTCAACCACTGTCCTTTGGTGGATAACAGAGAAAGGAAATTGGTCCGTTTTCGTCGAAAATAGGGTTAAAGAGATTCAAGAGTTGACGTGAGGTCATTCATGGAAACATGTCCCAGGAAAACTAAATATTGCCGACTTGTTATCGTGCAGATGTTTTGTGAAGCAAATGCTTCGGTCTAGATGGTGGGAAGGCCCCTTGTGGTTGCGAGAAGGCCCTGAAAACTGGCCCACTGGTGAGATTATTTGTTTGCATGAAGAAGTAGAATTGGAGAGGAAAAAGATAAAAATAGTGAATATTGATCTATCAAAAGACGCACCACCTTGGTATCGAATCGATGTATCCAATTATGATAAAATGATTAGAATATTTGCATGGATATTTAGATTTGTAAATAATTGTAAAAATGGTTCTGAAAAGAATAGAAACATTGAACTTTCACAATATGAAATTGAAAATTCTGAAAAAATTTTAATTCGTTTGGTTCAAAATTATTATCTGACTGAAAAGAAATCTTATAATTTTATTGAAACGCTCATTGATGATGATGGTATTCTGAGAGTTAAAACGAGAATACTAAACAGAGATGACCATGAATCTTTTCTGTATCCAATACTGTTACCAGAAAAATGTGATTTCACTAGGTTATTAATCAGAAATGTACATACTAAGAACTGTCATGCTGGTCTTCAGATGACGCAACAATATTCCTCCTCTGGACAACTTGTAAAAGCTCCAAAAAGACTTCATCTTTTAAATAATGTTTGTTATGAGCTTGGAGGATGTTGTGAAATGAACTGAAGTAATAACTGGCGCGAGGCACTGCTGTTCGTGACGTCAGCCTGCGTGCTGAGTGTTTCGAATGGTTTGCTTGTAGACAGAGCGAGAGCTGATCTCGGAAGAGTGAGACTGTTTTCATGAAAATAAAGAATGGCTTATTATGAATTTTTTTGTCTTTATTAAGAATTTTTTTTAAGAATTATTTTTTTTTTTTTTTTTTTTTTTTTTTTTTTAATAAAATTATTATGCACCCAACCTCAGGTAGAAGCAGCCCGCAACTGAATGAACTGTTTTGAATATATTTGATTAATATATTTTCTGTGTTCTTTGCAACACTACTTATTCAAAAAAAAATTCTGATTTAATATAGTAAAATTAAATATTTTAGTTTGAAACTAATAAATAAAATTATTAGGCAGCCATAAAAAGAAAACATCACTGACCAACCCCTACAATGCACTCTCCAAAATAATGCAGATGGCATGTGACAAGAGAGAGTTTGACAAAGGCCTCAGTGTCAGTGACTACAAAAAGTAATTAATGGTAAAATTAGCAGTAGATGCTGACAGATATCCGTACCTGATCAATGAATATGGATACTGGACTACTCTGCTTGGTGAAGGCAAATAGGGAGCTGTTAATGGTTCAAATGAATTTAATATAGTTGAAAGTACAAGTGTACTTGAGGATGTAAGTTCATTGTTTAAATATGGGACTCCACAGCAGATGGTCTTTTCATCGCCATCTGTTAATTCACCATCATCTGATGTTTACCAACTAAAATGAGCCTATAAACATTGTGAAAGGACCATGCAACAATGGTAATGACCTCTCTAAACAGATAAATTATAATTTCTTTCACATCTCAAGAACAGCTGTATTGGAGTATGCTTCTCTAAACAAAGAGTTGATTGGCATACATAACACAGGAATAAGCAGGCCATAAAGGCCAAATTATACTTTAGGAGACATTCTTACGGGGAATCCTGGGACAAGTGACAGTTGCAGAATACACCATGACAACCATGAGCTATGTAAATACACTGCAGACTTCAGTCCCCATCACAATGATCAATGTATTACCAAACACTTCAAGAAGGTTTGTGTGTATAAAATTCATTCAAGGTTTTGAACAAATTTTATACACACACTGATAATGTTCAAACCAAAGTGAAAAAAGTTTAATTAATAAACATCTTACTTACGAAGTTACAACAAACTAATGTAGCTTCAATAATTCCAGCAATAAAAGCGGCACAGTTTAGACTACCTGCATACAAAATTTTTATTATTATTTAAAGTTTAATAAGATGGAATTAAGAATTAAAAAAAAGAAGAAGAAGAAATAGAGATCAATTAAACTAAATCATTATTGGTATCAATAAGAATCACATCAAGCTTATTAGATGCAAGATGTCATATTTAAATGCATACTTTTTCATGTACAGGATTAAATAATAATTATATGTATATTATACACATACACACAAATTAATAGAAACATGGTTATTAATTACATATATATATAATACGCATAAAATAATAGAAACATGTTATTATATATATATATCCATATATGGGAACATATTACATATATATATATATATATATATCTGGTATATGAAAGTTTTCTTATTATAAATTATTATGAATTATTAGTTTATATATGTACACATAAAAGAATAGAAACATGGTTAAAAAGTTAAAAAACAAATGAAGATGGTAAATTGTGCACAGTAAGATGTAGCACCACTTTTTGCATCAAAAACAGCCTGAATCCTCATTAAATTATATGCTTACAAATCCTGAATGATATTTAGTGGTATGCCACATAACTTTTTAGGCAAATGATGCTGTAGAGCAGGGATGTCAAACTCATAGGTACACTTGGGCCAAACAAACAAGGTTTAACTTTAGGCGGGCCGCAAAAAAAAAAAATTCAATATTCATAGAAACGTAGATTTATTTCGAATAATACAATAATAAACATATATATATATTTATATAGAAAAGAACAAGAAAAATTGGTACTATTCAGTTTTGAGGGCGGTAAAAAATCGCCAAACTTTTGTTGATGCCAATGCTGCCAAAAGTAATTGCGGCAACCCTAACGCAAGAAAGGAAGTATAATAGTAAATAACTATCAAATATTGATGTTTTAATTTAGATGAAAGTTTAAGTTGAAATAATATTTCGCTACCGAGTTATTGCTAAAGCATAATGTCATCTTGTTGGTTGTTCAAACATAATTTTCTATAATGAATGATGCCTTTTCTTTGTAAACATTTTCGGTCAAGTGCAGAATCGCCCACTTATTTGTTTGCCGCTTTTTTACAAGGGAAAAAACAATTGGATTTTTGTCAATTTTCTTTTACTTTTTAAGTGACAATAGGTTGATGTGTACATAGATAAAGTCAGGGGTGTGCGCAGTGCCATTTTTGTGCAATCTGGGATTTTTTTTTGTGAAATTTTTGTGATTTGTTTTTGTGAAGTGAAAATAAGTCGATGTGCACATGGATACCGAGTATGTGCAATTCTTAAAAACGCGTCAAGCAGTTGGTGATTCTGCACTTTACCCATAATTCTATTGCAGACTTTTCATCATGGGCAATTCCCAAATTATTAAATCCATAGGCTATCAAAAAAGGAACTAAAAATTAAACTATTATTTTGATGGCGTGTTAAGAAATATAGAACTATATAAACTTATGCAATCTGAAATCAGCGCGTACGCTAGATTTGGCACGCTGTTAAATGGGCGTGCTTGCTAGATTTGGCGCTTTCGCGCATACATTTTCGCTGGAATTTTTTTACGGCCCTCAAAACCAAACAGTACCAAAAAATTCAATGTTTACGTCCTGATACTTGACATCTCTTCTCTGCTATTATCTTTCCTATTTCGGGAGAAATTTTATTTGCAGTGATAACTTTCAACGCTAACCCAAGGTGAGCATCATTAATACAGTTTCTAATAGGAGACTTATTACCTTTCATGACTGAAAATAACTGCTCGCACCGATAAGTGCTACCAAACATGGAAATAATTTCATATGCGAATTTTCGAGTATTTTCAAACCTGGCTGGTAAATATTTGTAAAATTCAGGCACGCCCACTTCAATGAATTTTGCTTTCAAATTTGAGTTGCATTGAATCTCGATCACCTCCATTTGCATATGGCTGGGTACTGAGTCAATACTTATTGAGAAAATCGAAGAAAACAAAAAAAAAAAATTTGTCTTCGAGGGGGGAACTAAAATCATTAAACCTCGTTTCACATTCAGTTGGTAAATTTGCAATTTTTTCTGCGTATTTTTGATACGAACAAGTATCATCTAAACTTGATTTGTTCATGCTGCACGTCGGGAAGTGCGTCAAATCTTCTTTTTTGAGTTGTTTTTCCCAAAGAACTAGTTGACATTTGAATGCTTTAATTATTTCAAACATGTTCGTAATGATATGATCTTTTCCTTGTAACGATAAATTTTAATCGGTTAAGTGTTTGGTTATATCAACCAAGAAAGATAAATCTTGTATCCATATTGGATCGTAAAACAAACTTACGTCTTGATTTTTTCGTTTTTAAAAACTGACATATTTCTTCTTTCAAAATCCCAGAATTGTTTGAGAATCTTGGAGCAAGATAACCAACGTACCTCGGTATAGTAGGACAAACCCGAATATTCACTATCTAACTCACTTAAGAAAGCAGTGAATTGATGCTGATTTAAACCTCGAGATCTTATAAAATTTATAACTTTTTTTATATATGACAAAACATTCTCCATATTTATTACTTTTGTGCATAGAACTTCTTGATGTATAATACAATGCATATGATGAATGTCTGAACCGTGAATTTCACTAAGTTTTTTTCTTAGTAATGCTACGAAGCCCTTGTTTTTCCCGGTCCTTGATGGAGCACCATCTGTAACTACAGAATTTAATTTTGCCAAAGGTAGATTGTATTTCTGCAGAAGTCCAAAAACACAAGTAAATATATCTTCTCCTGTGGTAGTACCAGGCATCGGTATTAGTTCCAGTAATTCCTCAAAAATGTTAAAATTCTTGTCACAAGAATGAAGAAACACTGCTAATTGAGCTTTGCCACTAATGTCCGTGCTCTCGTCACAGGCAATGGAGAAACTTTCGAAATTAGATGATATCTGATCACTTAAATTCGCGGCCAAATCAGGAACTCTTTCCGCAACTGTATTTCGAGACAATGAAATTGATTGAAAAGCCTTCACATTTCCAGAACAAACAATTTCTCCAGCTTTCATTACGCATTCCTTGATGAAATCACCGTCAGTAAAAGGCTTCGAATGTTTAGCTATCAACTCGTACAAGACGTAGCTTGCATATACCGCCGCTTCACTTTCTTGCAATACTTTACTAAACATGGACTGTTGCTTTTTCACTCCTAACTTGAGCTCTTTCAACTTTTCTTCTCTCATTCATCCTTCGTAATTGTTATATTTCGATTTGTGTTGTTCGTAATGACGTTTAATATTATATAACTTTGGTACATTAATAGTATTATTACATATCAAGCAGATTATTTATCTTTTATTTCACAGCAAAAATATTCTAATTCCCATTTTACTTGGAATATTCTATGTTCGTCAGCGATTTTTCGTTTAATTTTACTACCACTTGGTTTTGATATAGACATACTGAATACAAAGGGCTGGAATAAACACGGTTAACGTTAAAAAGTTAACAAAATTTTATTCTTTCCACAAGAGATAAATCAAAATGCTGAAATATTTCTTCAAAAATATTCTAACAATATCACAAAATGTCAAACGTTTAGCAAAAATCAATTCAAAACAGAGAAACTAATTCTATCTCACAGCGAAATCGCTACAAATCAATCACAGCATTAAGTAAACAAACAATTCGCTAGAACTACAGCTACTACTGAGATGAGTTGTTTGTTCTCGGCTTTTATAAGCTTTATAATTAATTTCTCGAATATACTGGAAACATATATAAATATCTGGATTTTTGTGGATGGCAACAGCAATTATGAGATATTTATTTATTAGGTATTAAATGCACGCGCTGTTCTATTTTTAACCTTCCAACGCAGCTATCTTTTCAAAAATCGTCTGACTAAATAAATAAATAACTATGAAATCCGTAACAATATGAATTAAGTAATAATTAATAATAAAGCAAAGTGCATGCATGTGCATGCACCAATATATCGTACAAAACTATGATTGGAAAACTGAGACCATGAGTTTGGCCACATTCGGCTATCCAGGGATGTGTACAAGTTTTGAGTGCACGTGTTCCCCAAAAGCCGAAGGTAGCTGAACACAAGCTACTCACACGCATTTGTAATTTAAGTAGTGTGTGTGTCAGCTCGCTGTGAATAATCTAACAACACTGAATAAATTATCGTTAATTACTTAGCTGTAAACATTTCATTTTTTTCTTCGTCGATATGTTATTTTATTATTATATATTATTATTTGCCGATTTATTGGCCGGGCCGCAAAAATATTTGTTGTGGGCCGCGAGTTTGACATCCTTGCTGTAGAGGCTAACTGGATCTTGTGAATGTTTTGCAATGCATACCACAGTGCCTCAGGGATGTTCAAGTGAGAACACCCTCATATTCTCGTTGCAAAGGGAAATAAAAAGGTGGCATTCCTGAAGATCAGCATTGTACTCTTTAAACTTCTCCACTTACTTTGTAATCCATTACTTGTTTTATTCTGTAGTCTGTTTCACTTTATTTTTTAGCACTGTTCTTTTTTTTTTTTTTTTTTTTTTTTTTTGGTGTGTGTACACGTGCTTAACTTTTTAAATATGGGTATACAATTTAAGTTGCTTAAAGATTCCTTCCACTTAACAACAGCATATTTCTATTTATTAGTGCATTCTAGTCGCACCAGATTGCAATACATTTGTGCTAATTTAGTTTCCTATGGTTCCAGGTACTACAACACAAAGTCTGAGATTCAGAATTATCGGGACTTTGCCAATTCTTGGTGTGGTTTATTTCATTATGACAAAGCACTACATAAAGAGGACTATCTGCCCAAGGGGAGTGATGCCTTCATGGAGGACCTTCTAAGGGAAATGGCTTGCATACATGTTACATATAGGGAAAACCACATAAACGCCTCAGCAGAAAGCCTGTTTGACAGGATTCAAACCTTAGAGCAAACTACAAGTATTCACCGACTTTTACTGCTCGACGACTGGTGGGACTCCACAATCTTGATTTCAGATCACCAGTTTAAATTTAGTAAAAT